ATCTTATGCCAACACCGCAAGGCCAGATGGTCATTGCTGACACAACGAATCAAAACACACTCAGAGCATTTATCGATTTATTCTGATTAAATTTTACGGCGGAACCCTGTGCACACACAAACTGTTCCCGCTACTGTTCTGTGAGTATGTCTCTGAAGATGAATCCGCGACGGATTTCGAAACGTCAGGCGAATAAGCGTATTGCCCCAATGATCGAGTCGTCTTCTACTTCTCAATAAACATGTAAGCCTTAGGGGTAAATGGTGTGACGATCTTTCAATATGTCGTCATCAGGTAAGCAGTTCCCACCCGCAGGCGGGAATGTCGGATTTGATAACTTAATCTACTTGCGATGGAAAGTTCATAAACCAACCATTTTGCGGCATGAGGGTTGGGCGTAAGGTCATTTTGGATGCAGCCAATAGTATTCAGGTTTGCACGGAGCTCACCTTCACCAAATTTAGCTCACTTTGTTTTATAAATCATGATCGAGAGATTTTACAGGCGGCACATAGCAATAAGAAATGAGAAATCGGACGGAGTTAACAGAGGCAGAGAGAGAGAGAGACCGGAATGCCACTTTCTGACTTCTTTTTCGTCAACGGTAAAACATATTCCAAAAACAAACCTAAACCTTACATATGACTTTGATTCTGTTGACTGGTAGAAGTTTATAAATTTATAATCCCATCATCTGAGTTAAGAACCGAAGTCTTTTTGTTGTATTAGGAAGTGTCACGTGGGCGTGTTGTCTACTGATTCACCCTGGAGAGAACTCAAGGCGAAGCAGACATGCCGTATAAATTAAATTATACAAAATAGAAAACCTATTGCAAAACAGTTCCTTCTCATACAGGTTGGCGGAAAAATATGTTTTCTTCCAAGTTTATTCCTTAAAGGAGATATTTTTCGGTTTAACATAAGCCTTCAGGCGATTGGAGTGATATCCCAGTGATGGAGTCGTCTTCTTCTAGTCTGCAATTTCGCAAGAATTTCAAACCAGATCTAAATTTACATTCTTGCGGAATCGTTATCTATAGGCTGTTGGCTACCGTCATAATTAATATTAAGCTAATTTGCGGATAACGTTTAAGGAAAAACTGCCCAGAAGGAGTATTTTGATGCTTATAGTCTAGGTAGCCCTCCTGGCAAGCCAGTCTAAGTGTCTTACCCGGTGGTGAAGCCTAATCAGTACTCCCAGGTACTTTGCTATAGAGCTTTTTCGCACCTCACAAATAATTCATTTGCAAAAGGCTGCGTATTTGGACTCAACACCTGCTCCGACAAAAGTTTGCAGATTACTTCATGTTCATTTACGCCTTGCGTTTTGATAACTGGGGAGTTCTTGAAGGCAGACATAACGATAGGCTAGCCGATAAGTATAATCAAATTCTTACCGAAATTTAAACGTTTTACCCGTCAGAACCTCACTAATGGATGGCCAACGCCTAGTTCGAGATGCAATTTGTTCGCTGATGGGTGTACCAATGCACTCTCCGCCAAGTCCGCGGGAAATACGGATGCTGAGCTCGTCTCTGGATCTTCGACCCACAGCTTTTAGCGTGATTGCACTGAAAAAAGTAAATGTTGGAAAAACTCCCTTCAGCATCTTTTCTGTCGTCAAGCAGACAGACCACAACGCTGGGTCACTGCAACCAGAGACCGGGAGGGTTGTGAATGCATCAGAACTTGCAACTCCGGCATCTGTGCATTTTTCGGTTGCTCTTGCTCATGAGCTACAAAATGCTATGTCAAGCAACCTCCTATTATGTCGTCGCGCACGTATCTGGGGTCAGATGAGATAGCAATTCATTTTCATGGAAGATATCGAAGTCTAATCGTTTAGCTGATTTCATTAGCTGTGGTCGGGCTCAGCTGTATCCTCCGTTCGGCTGTGGAACGGGTTATATCGGTCGCACGA